ATGAGAGTTTTAGTGTTGAGGTGAATGAGCTCTGTGTGTTTGTCCTGATGAAGAAAATAATGTGTGAGTTCTCCCAGCAGGTGGTTGTGAAGGTGTGGACTCTGCTATGAATCAGGGTGAGGACCCAGAGGACGGAGTCCGTCCCTCTGAAGCTCCTCTTTGTGGGGAACATGACAGCCAGACCACAGCTCAGAGGTGAGAGGACCATCTCCAACTGTCCTCCAGTCTCCTCCATGTCCCAACGTCTTTGACTCACTGACTCTGGTTCTACATGTGTGACCAGGATCCATCAGAGACCTGGACCTGATGCTGGACCTGAACCCCGCTGTGTGAACATGGAGCGTATACGGTCTAAGAGTCCTCCTCCAGACTTCAAAGATGGTCCCTCTGTTGATGCAAGGTGAGGGTCTCAGGCTGATGATGAGGTGTTTCTATCAGACTCTCTGGTGGAGGTTCTGGGTTTCTTGCGCCAGGGCCCTTCAGCAGTGTCCAGTGAGGGAGGGAGAGAAAGAAAACAGTGAGATGAAAGACTGAGCGGTTGATTCTCAGTGGGACCAGCAGGACCAGTAGACCTAAACCACTACAGGGAGTCATGTGGTCCACATCCAGACCTCGCGTCATGGACCTTTACCTTGTTTTGGTCTCTGTGAGGACGGACACCATGTGAGCTGATGCTTCATGATTAGATGATGTGATGATGTAATCTCAGTGTTTCTTTCAGGTCACAACAGCAGAGAGGAAAGTCTCCTGAACCCACATGTGTGTCCATGAAGAGTGATCAGTCCAAAGATCGATGGTTTAACTTCAGAGATGGACGTTGTTCTCATGACCCAGAGTAAGTTCTTATACAGATGAAGAACTGTTCTGATCCTGTTGGGGTTTTAAGTAGAAGTGAATGTCTAGTCATAGAATTTGTAGTACGTGTAATGATGTTTAGTGATAGAATTGTAGTTTGTGTGATGTTAGATTAGTTATTACATTAACATGTTAGATGAAGTGAATACAATGTGATCAAACACAGTTTATAGTCTTTAAAACGTAGAAACACACTACACATTTACATTCTGTTACAAAGTGATGTTAAAACCTGGGGACGGATGCCAATTGCCGTTCTTTATGGATTTCTCCCAATTTTCTCCCCAAAAAGGGTTTTTTGGGAGTTTTTTCTCCTGTCAGGTAATAAAATGAACAACTTATTGCAAGGCAGCCGACTGAGGCAAATGTCTTGCGAATTGAACCACATGAACTGTTTTAGGTCTTATGATGAAGTGTGATGAACGGTGATCATTAATGATGGGTTGCTGTAATTAAAGTGTACTAGTTATAAGATGAAGACTTAAACGATGTATGCTTTGTTGGGTTCACTCATTGAGGCATAAAGCCACTTTATCAGTATTGAGTGCATTGGAATGTGAGGGACAGCTAGGTCAGAGAGGTTTCAGGTTACGGCTGCAGCTTCACACCTCGACGTGGAAGGGACAATGGAGGAGGTGACCCTTTGGAGAAGAGGCCAATGACATTCAAATGCACCAAAGAAGACACACCTCAAGAGTTTTCAAAGGACCAAAGCGGGGAAAAGACTGTTAGATCTTCTCCTGCAGCCGCGTTGATAAGTCACTTTAGACTTGCTCAGAGAATTCTCTATTTCGCGAAATATTCCACTGTTCGCTTAGTATTTCACTTTGTAATTGTAATCCCTATTATGTTGTTTAGTCATTAAATACTTTTTGATTTTTGAATTTAAACGATTTGACTCATTCGTGTCCTCGTCTCGGCCGGGACGAGAACAAAGGATTGAGGCCTCCCTCGAGAGCTTCCGCAACCCTTAACAATCCTCAGTTATGAAGTACAGAAAGTATGTAAACACAATGGTGAGCTAGGTCCTCCACATCAGGATAAGCAGAGGTCACACCTGGAGACTGATGACTGGGACTGAACATGTGATTAGAATAAACTCTGTGGACCAGCTGACGTGGTCTCTGGACTCCATGCAGAGGTTTGGAGAAAGTATCATCAGCAGACTCTGTGAAAAGGTCCAAAGACTAGTTTCAGAAGATCTAAGGAGACTTCTAGAGGTCAGGGGACGGACTAAAGAGGTTTGGAGTAGTTCCATAGGACTTTGTACCAGATTCAGAGGTCTGGAGACGTTTTTATGAGCCACAGTAAGAACTAAAACCAGATGAAACTGATGACTAACTGTCACTCAACTAATAAACTGTCTGTCATCATCAACAGTCTTCAGCATCTGGTTTCCATGGTGTTCAATCATGACAGAAGCCAATATCTTTAACTAATGTTGTATTGGTGTTGATGGTCCAAACAACATGTGAGCTGATGGTTCATGTTCCTCCACAGAGAGGACCAGGAGAGCTCAGAGGTTCCCACAGGTCCGTCTGCCCAGCAGCATAAAACACACCTGGACTCCATCTTCATGGTGTGTACATGTACAACTACTTTTACATCTCAGGTCACCATCATCTCCATGCTGCACTTTGTAGACCAGTGGATTGTCCGTCTGTCCAACATGGACCTGATGGTGGCTTCCATGGTTCTAGTTGGTGTCCTTCACAGAATATTTTGTTCCAGCTGCTGGAAGAGAACATCCTCACTTTTGTGAAAAACGAGCTGAAGAAGATCCAGAAGGTTGTCAGTTCAGATTACCCAGAATGCTCAGAGAAGGAGGTTGAGGAGGTGCTGGATGAAGAGCAGAGGAGGAGCAGAGAGGCATTTGTGAAGATATCAGTGCACTTCCTGAGGAGAATGAAGCAGGAGGAGCTGGCTGACTGGCTGCAGAGCAGTAAGAGGATTTCTCTACAGACTTACCATGCTGATGAATGAGACCTTCACTAATGTCTCAAGAGATGGACAGAATATATTCACAGTCATTCTCTGGGGAGAGGACATGTTGAAATCTATTCTTTGACTCATTGATCTTCTTTGTTCTTCATTCAGGACTTCTTCCTGCAGATTGTCAGCGTGAACTCAAATCCAACCTGAAGAAGAAGTTCCAGTGTGTGTTTGAGGGGATCGCTAAAGCAGGAAACCCAACTCTTCTGAATGAGATGTACACAGAGCTCTACATCACAGAGGGAGGGACTGCAGAGGTCAATCAAGAACATGAGGTCAGACAGATTGAAACAGCATCCAGAAGACCAGCCAGACCAGAAACAACCATCAGACTAGAAGACCTCTTTGAACCCTCAGCTGGAAGAGAGGAACCGATCAGAACAGTGATGACTAAGGGAGTGGCTGGCATTGGGAAAACAGTCTTAACACAGAAGTTCACTCTGGACTGGGCTGAAGACAAAGACCACCAGGACATACAGTTCACATTTCCATTCACCTTCAGAGAGCTGAATGTGCTGAGAGGGAAGAAGTTCAGCTTGGTGGGACTTGTTCATCACTTCTTCAGTGAAACCAGAGCAGCGGGAATCTGCAGGTTTGAGAAGTTCCAGGTTGTTTTCATCTTTGACGGTCTGGATGAGTGTCGACTTCCTCTGGGACTTCCACAACAATGAGATCTTGACTGATGTCACAGAGATCTCCTCAGTAGATGTGCTCCTCACAAACCTCATCAGGGGGAAGCTGCTTCCCTCTGCTCGCCTCTGGATCACCACACGACCTGCAGCAGCCAATCAGATACCTCCTGAGTGTGTCGGCATGGTGACAGAGGTCAGAGGGTTCACTGACCCCCAGAAGGAGAAATACTTCAGGAAGAGGTTCAGATATGAGGAGCAGGCCAACAGGATCATCTCCCACATCAAGACCTCACGAAGCCTCCACATCATGTGCCACATCCCAGTCTTCTGCTGGATCACTGCTACAGTTCTGGAGGAGATGAAGACCAGAGAGGGAGGAGAGCTGCCCAAGACCTTGACTGAGATGTACATCCACTTCCTGGTGGTTCAGTCCAAAGTGAAGAAGGTCAAGTACGATGGAGGAACTGAGACGGATCCACACTGGAGTCCAGAGAGCAGGAAGATGATCAAGTCTCTGGGAAAACTGGCCTTTGATCAGCTGCAGAAAAACAACTTGATCTTCTATGAATCCGACCTGACAGAGTGTGGCATCGATATAAGAGCAGCCTCAGTGTACTCAGGAGTGTTCACTCAGATCTTTAGAGAGGAGAGAGGACTGTACCAGGACAAGGTGTTCTGCTTCGTCCATCTCAGTGTTCAGGAGTTTCTGGCTGCTCTTCATGTCCATCTGACCTTCTTCAGCTCTGGTGTCAATCTGCTGTCAGAAGAACAAACAACCTCCTGCCGGTCTAAACGCTTTAAACTCAATCCTGAACCAAAGCGTCTCTACCAGAGTGCTGTGGACGAGGCCTTACAGAGTCCTAATGGACACCTGGACTTGTTCCTCCGCTTCCTCCTTGGTCTTTCCCTGGAGACCAATCAGACTCTCCTGCAAGGTCTGCTGACACAGACAGGAAGCCACTCACAGACCAATCAGGAGACAGTCCAGTACATCAAGGAGAAGATCAGTGAGAATGTGTCTCCAGAGAAAAGCATCAATCTGTTCCACTATCTGAATGAACTGAATGATGGTTCCCTAGTGGAGGAGATCCAACAGTCCCTTAGATCAGGACGTCTCTCCACAGAAGAACTGTCTCCTGCTCATTGGTCAGCTCTGGTCTTCATCTTACTGTCATCAGAAGAAGATCTGGAGGTGTTTGACCTGAAGAAATATTGTGCTTCAGAGGAGGCTCTTCTGAGGCTGCTGCCAGTGGTCAAAGCCTCCAACAAAGTTCTGTAAGTACAGACAGAGTTAGATTCATACATCGTGACTTAAACATGCTGCCATATTTTCTACTTGTTCATATTTTCTTCATTGTTGTTTCTTCAGACTGAGTGACTGTGACCTCTCAGAGAGAAGCTGTGAAGCTCTGTCCTCAGTCCTCAGCTCCCAGTCCTCTCGTCTGAGAGAATTGGATCTGAGCTACAACGGCCTGCAGGATTCAGGCGTGAAGCTGCTGTCTGCTGGACTGGAGAGTCCACACTGTGACCTGGAGACTCTCAGGTCAGGATTCAATGAATGTCCACTTGGTGCCTTTATTTTCATTAATGATACATTTCTGACCTTCATGAGATTCCTTCTGTTTGCATGATTTAAATCAGTTTGTTTTCAATATGTTTCAAATTGAAATATTGGAGATTGATCATAGATTCATCAGTAACGTTATCATATTGTCGATGGACATTAGTGGATGTTTTGTTGTGACGAGAAACCAGTTAGGAAACCATGTTAATGTGACCCCTCAGTAGCCGACAATATCTCAGTCCTGCAGTGACCTTCTAGTCCTCACAGCTCCCTCAGATCATGTGACATGTGTGTTGTTTTGTGTGTTTCAGGCTGTCAGGCTGTCTGATCACAGAGGAAGGCTGTTCTTCTCTGGCCTCAGCTCTGAGCTCCAACCCCTCCCATCTGAGAGAGCTGGACCTGAGCTACAATCATCCAGGAGACTCAGGAGTGAAGCTGTTGTCTGCTGGCCTGGATAATCCGCACTGGAGACTGGAGACTCTCAGGTATGAAGAGGCTGCAGCCACAGACTTTAGTCTGGTAGAGGAGGTAGAACTGGAAGCCTTTTCTCTGTCCCACTGTCAGCCTGGTTAATAAGACACTGACACACCAAGCTGACCTCAAACTACCAGAGACTCATCAAACTGTTTGTGTACCACATGAGACCATCAACACAGACAGAAGTAGTGAGGAACAGTATCCAGGATGAGCCTGAACAGTGAGGAAGGTGATGAAAGGCTTGTTTCTCTAGAGCCTTGTCTTGTCTCCACGTTATAAGAGAGGACAGTGTCTCCTGACACGTTGACGGCATCATGGTGGGTTCATATGAGTCAACGTCGTCATGCTGCAGGTTTGCGGGCTCTTATCAAACAACACTTAGATGTTTAGATGCTGGTCATCTGCCTCCAGTGTGTGTTGTCCTTTGGTCCAGACTTTTTCATGTTTGATGTTTTAAACTTCAGCTTCACCTGGTTTTGGTGCTTTGCACTGAGAGACAGTTCCCTGGATGATAAGAATGGACTTGAAACTACACTGACAGTTGGCCACAGACGCTCAGTGAAGAACCAACAGCTGATTGTGGACTTGGTGTGTCAGAGCCCAAAGAGGTTTGTTTAGGACTGGACCAAAGTTCTAGGGAGACTCAGGCAGTGATCTGTGGCTGTAGACCCACCTGAGCTGTAACACCTTCACCTCCAGACTACAGGTGATAGAAACCAGTGTTGACTGTTGCTAGGAGACGGGATGTGAACAACAGTGTCACAATTAGACCCTTTGTACCTCCTCAACCCCCTCAAACCCTCCTCCCCGACCTCCATCAGAGGGTTTGTGGTGCTGTAGTAATTTCAGTTGTGTGGTGGAGATGAACCCACAGAGAATAGTCTCCATGTCTGCAGCTCTACACAGCTGGTTAGCCTCTTTTTAGCTTCAGGAGGTGGTGGAGACTAAAAACCGCTAAAAGAGAGATTGGTGGACTTCCATCCATCAGGTCCCACAAAGACTCCCGATGAACCATCATGTTGATGTGAACCTGCTGGATGTGGAAGCAGCTGGTTGATCTCATGTTAGACAGAACTACTGTAGAAGATGGTCACATGTCACATGTTGTGTTCACAGCTTGTTGTCACTGAACCACAAGTGGACAAAGATACCGCTTCATGAGGTTAAAACATTTGATTCACTGACTGCTGAAGGAAACTGAGTGTGAAATAGAAGATGATGATGCTGATAATAACAGATGATGAATGAGTGAACATAATGAGCTGTGGTCATCGGCAAATCAGAAGAAGAGGTGGTCCATGTGGACATGAAGGACCAAGCTGTGTGTATGATGTAATGTCCATGTCTCCATGCTGCTCTGACTCCCCTCCTCCTTTCAGGGTGGAGCCTGCTGGAGTCCGATGGTTCAGACCAGGTCTGAGGAAGTGTAAGTGTGCTTTGATTCATGAAGATTCAACCATCTTCACACTGTGACATCACTCATTCACCTCTGTGATGTCATCATCAACGTGTCAGTAGATGAACACATGATTAATAACTGCAGCTGTATTGTGTCTTGTTCTCTCATCAGATTCCTGTGAACTCACAATCGACACAAACACAGTAAACACACAACTCAAACTGTCTGACAACAACAGGAAGGTGACGCGTGTGGAGGAGGATCAGTCGCATCCTGATCATCCAGACAGATTTGTCTCCTATCATCAGCTGCTGTGTAGAACTGGTCTGACTGGTCGCTGTTACTGGGAGGTCGAGTGGAGAGGAAGAGTTTATGTATCAGTGAGTTACAGAGGAATCAGGAGGAAAGGAAACAGTGCAGACTGTTGGTTTGGATACAATGATCAGTCGTGGAGTCTGAGATGCTCTGATGGAGGTTACTCTGTCTTTCACAATGATACAGAAACACCCATCACCATCTCCTCCTCCTCCTCCTCTGGTAGAGTAGCAGTGTATGTGGACTGTCCTGCTGGCTCTCTGTCCTTCTACAGAGTCTCCTCTGACACACTGATCCACCTCCACACCTTCAGCACCACATTCACTGAACCGCTTTATCCTGGGTTCTGGTTCTGGCCTGGTTCCTCAGTGTCTCTGTGTCCTCTTCAGGAGGGAGAGTCTCCTCCTGGTGGAGAACCTTCCTCTCTGCTCACCACATAGTTCAGTCTGTACAGCTGATGTAGGTTCATGTGGGTGTAGATGCAGGTGGAGCAGGTGAGGGGTACCTGAGCTGGTCTGGACTCTGGGGGTCCACATCTCTCTGGGACTTGTGGTCTGAAGGAGCTCAGCGAGGTGTGTTTTAATGTTGCTGAGCTCGTTGCCTCTGTGGATGAATCAGTAGATCATCATTTAGATGTTGGGTCCTAATTAGGGTTTAATCTTAATCTTTATGTGTGTGTCCCCCCCCCCAATATGAGATCAATGTCTCTGGATAAATTGTCCCCATTTGTGTGTTTGCTTCATTAGCATGTCATTGTTTTGTCAAGGATTGATTGTAAGGACAAAATAATGAAAATATGTGGAATTATTTTTGATCCGATTTGATTTTAACTTCAAATCTTTCTGAATGTGTTCAAATCTCTACCTCTGATATTATCATTAAATATTTTCTCCAGATACTTCTGCTTTATTAACGTTAATATAATGTTGTAACAGGTTGATCCTCTGGGGGGGTCCTGGAATGACGAGCACGAGGCAGTCGGGTCCATTATAAATGTTTTTTTTTTATTGTTTCACACCAAAACACAGGCGGCTCCAGCCTCCTCGCCTCGCTCTCCCGCTGTCGCCGGCTCTCTCCTACTAAACAGCAGAATACAAATACTGATTAACATCAGCTGAGGCCACTTGCCTCCCCCGGCACCGTTCCCTGAACCACTCCCTTCTCAGCCCCCCCTGCATCCGAGCCAAACCACGCCCGCCACCACAAATGTTTTGTCCTTCCATGTACTACTTTGGGTTAACAGGAATTCAATTGTATGAATTTAATGTTAATAAAATACTTTTATAGTAAATTGTGTCCACTGGGCCTTTTTTTACACATTAGCGTCTCTTTGTAGAAAGATTTAAGAAACGTAGGAAATTAGTTATTTTACATTGAAACGCGTCAGGCTACAAATCCACTTCATTCATTTTCTTCCATCAAAGACACAAGTTGAGACCTTTTTGTTATAATACAATAGCACACGTGTACACACGCATACACACACACAGGTCAGAGGTCATTTTCCCATGAAACATTTTTCTGACCACTTTACTCTTTCTAAATAGTTGAAATCTACTTCAATGCACGTGGAACCAAACCAACCAGCAGAACCGTCCCGTCGGTGTCATCTCCTGCGTCATCACGGGGGGGCGTGTTTCCTCATGAGCGGATTTACAACCAACCACAAGTACCACAAAGCATCTTTTAAACAGAACTCCCATCCGATTTGAAGCCTTTTATTTCCTAAATTCATCCTTTTGCCTCTTCACATTTCTTCTCTGAATCTGAAAACCTGAACTGAGGAAAGAAGAAAGCCGCCGGTTAATCTTTTAGGGGAAAAGCTGTTTTTATTAGAAGTCATATACAAAAGGAATATTCCATGGTAGGATTTTATAAAACGTCCACATCGATCAACAGATCGCACAACGAGGCAAACACACACACACACACACACACGTCAAAGCTTCACATGGTTTAGAAAAAGTTGCCTGTGTTGTTCCGTTTGGATGCATAGCTTTGAGTACAATTATTTTCAGGGTTTTTATTTTGAAAAACTGGGAACCGTCACCTTATCATGGTGGAGAGGTTTGTGTGTCCCTATGACCCTGAGGGCTGTGTTGTCGGGAGCCTTGTGCTCCTGGTAGGGTTACCCTTGGCAAAGTGGTCTCAGGCTAGGCCGGACTAAGAAGACCCAAAAAAGATCCAATGAAAAAACGGAAGAGGGAAGGAGTTACCCGGCCCGGGGGAAGCCCAGGGCCCCCATTTGGAGCCAGGCCCAGATGGAGGGCCCGACCGCGAACGTCTGGTGGCCGGGTTTACCGCGGAGCCCGGCCGGGCACAGCCCGAAGGAGTGACGCGGCAGCCCAACACTCTACTCCCCATGGGCTCACCACCTGTGGGGGAAACCGATGGGGTCGGGTGCGCTGCTACAAGGGTGGCAGTGACAGTGGGGGGTCTAGACAGAACAGACCTGGGCGGCAGATGCTGGCTCAGGGGACGGGGAACGTAACCTCTCTGCGGGGGAAGGAGCCGGAGCTTGTGCGGGAGGTGGAGCGTTATCAGTTGGATCTGGTGGGGCTTACCTCTACGCACAGCTTCGGCTCTGGAACCATGCTCCTGGATAGGGGATGGACTCTATTCTACTCCGGAGTGGCCCATGGTGTGAGGCGCCAAACGGGTGTGGGGATACTCATAAGTCCCCGGCCTAGTGCGGCT